GCGTATAGCCCAGAGTCGACATTCATATGCTTCGATACCTAACTTTTACCCTTGCTTAACCAAGCCGAATGGAAGGCTTGCAAAAAAACAAAAAAAAGAAGTAGAAGAGGTGGAGGAAAGAACGAAAGGAAACGAGGGGTCGGTCAAACACTTTACGATGCGTCAGGACTGCGGGTGTGGCAAAGGATCTCATATATGTATATGTATAAGTCGCCCAACGTTGCCCTTTTCTCACGGTGCACCTCACAAGAACTTCATGTATATATATATAGCATACAGCGGCTTTATGGGAATCCTTGATGGCAATAAAGGCAAAAATCGAACGAGACGTGAAGATTTCGATTTTTTTCAATTTTAAATCCGCGCGCACAAAATTTCTAACTAAATTGATTTACTGGATTTTTGATTCGCTCTGGTTTCGCCATTCAACATTCAGTCAACTCTCGATAATTAAAGATAAGTTCAAGTTGCTTTTGGCTTTCTTCTCTCTAAATCTGAATTAGTAGACTTTCCACCAAATGATTTAGTAATAATTTTACCAACAAATAGTGAAATTTTACTAACAGTGAAATTTTACTAACAGTGAAATTTTACTAACAATGAAATTTTACTAATTTTTAGTAGATTTTACTAATTGCTTAGTAGAACCGTTTTATTAATAGTAGATAAAACAGTTTCACTAATTCATTTATAGTAAAATAAGTGACTTTCAATTAGTGGAATTCTACTAAACTATTAGTAAAATTTTACTAAAAATTAGTAATATTCTACTAATTGAAAAGCGGAAAAGTCTTACATGAAAACTACTAAAAATTACTAAAAATTTTATATTTCTTAGTAAAATTCTACTAATTCAGATTTAGAGAGTTGAGATAATTTTCATACTTAAAGCATTCGATAATTTAAATTTCCTTTGTCCCTTAAGAAACCAAAGTCGATTCGATTTTTCATCCATTGAAGCTCGACTTTTGACATTCCCTTAAGACTCAATTTATCGAGAGTTGACTGTATAAAATCTCTAAATTTAAATTTATTTAAAAATAAACTAATTCAAAAAATTAACTCAAAGTTGCAACAAAAATTGAATTTTGTTTTTCCCTAATTTCCAGACTTTTTCCTGACTTTATCCCTGACCCTAAAAAATATTCTAATAATACAATATTCTTTACAGGATTTCAATATTATTTAAAAAAAAAATGTAATAAAAATTCCTTGCAAGAATTGAACTATTTTCATAAATAATAAAATTCTTCACAGGAATTCAATTATTTTTAAAAATAATAAAATTCTTTACAAGAATTCAATTATTTTCCTAAATAATAAAATTCTTTAAAGGATTTCAATTATTTTTAATACAATTTTATGTAAATTCTTCGAAAAATGTAATTATTTTTAAAAATATTAAAAATTCAATTATTTTCAAAAATTTTCTGCAAGAATTCAATTACATTTGACGAATAATGAAATTCATCGCTGAAATTCAAATATTTTCAAAATCTACTGTTTCAATATTTCTTAAAAGAATTCAAGTATTTTAAAAAAATGTAATAAAATGCGTTGCAAGAATTCAATTATTTTCATAAATAAATTATACAATTCTTTACAGGATTTCAATTATTTAAAAAAAATGTCATCATTGTCAATTCAATTATTATTTTCTAGAATTTTTAACTAAAATTCTTCTTTAAATCAATCATTTTTAATAATTTTTGGAAAAATTCTTTAATTTTCAAATCCATTTGTTTACAATTCAATTTTAGGTGAAATTTCAATTATACGGAAATTCTTCAATTAAATATAAATTAGAAAATAAAAACTTGAATTAATTTTAAAAAATTTCGATAAAGCTTTTTGAAAAAAATTAGTTCCATAGAATTTTTAATTAAGAAAAATTCAAATTTTCAAAGATTTTAATTTAAAACTTTTACAAAATTCAATTATTTCTAAAAAAAATGCAATTATTCTCCAAAATTCAATTATTATCTAAAACTTTAACTGAAATTAATTTTTAAATCAATTTTTATTAGAAAATTCTACAAGAATTCAATTATTTAAATAATTATTCATTATTATAATTATTCAATAATTTATTGAATAATTGAATGTTTCTTAAAATTGAATTCTCATAAAGAATTTCATCAACAAATTTTTAAATAATTGAATTTCTGTAATTCAATTATATTCAATTATTATTTTCTAGAATTTTTAACTAAAATTCTTCTTTAAATCAATTATTTTTAATAATTTTTGAAAAACTTCTTTAATTTTCAAATCCGTTTGTTTACAATATTCAATTTTACAGAAATTTCGATTATTCGGAAATTCAACAATTAAATATATTTTAAAAAATAAAAACTTTGACGAATTTCAAAAAATATTCAATTACACTTTAAAAAAAAAAAGAATTTCGAAAAGAATTGTTAGTTAAAAGAATCGAAAATTCAGATTTTTAAAGATTTTAATTTGAAACCTTTTCGAAATTCAATTTATTTCTAAAAATTTAATTCTTCAATTATTATCTAAAACTTTAACTGAAATTCATTTTTAAATCAATTTTTAATAGAAAATCCTACGAGAATTCAATTATGTAAATACAATAATAAATAATTAATTCAATAATTGAATGTTTCTCAAAATTGAATTCTCGTAAAGAATTTTATCACATTTCGAAAAATTCGAATAATTTGAATAATTTGAATTTTATCAACAAATAATTGTCAAATAATTAAATCCTTTCTACGGATTTTAATAAATTTTTAAAGAAATAATTACATTTTTTTTCGAATTATTAATATAATTCGACTAAAATTATATTAAAAATAATTGAAATTCTGCGATGAGTTTTAATGTTTATGAAAATAATTGAATAGTTGCTAAGAATTTTATTAAAATTTTCAAAAATAATTGAATTCTTGATAAAAATTGAAATATTTTCATAAATAATAAAAGTTTACAAAAAAATTCAATTATTTTTAAAAATAATTAAATCTTGTCGAAAAATTTTATTGAAAATAATTGAATTTTTCTGTAAAATTTTATTATTTATGAAAATTTGAAACTTTTTTATTTTTGTAAATAATGGAATTCTTCAGAATTGTATTATTTATGAAAATAATTGAATTCCTGCGTAGAATTTAATAAATATTCATATTTAAAAAAATGGAATTGATTTGGAAATTTTTTATTTTCAAAAATAATTAAATTCCTGAGAATAATTTTATTATTTATGAAAATAATTGAATTATTGCGAAAAAATTCATTAAAATTTTTAAAAAGAATTGAATTTCAGTGAAAAATTTTGTTATTTTTGAAAATAATTGAATTTTTCGATTAATTAATTTAAAATAGTATTTAAAATATAATTGAAATTCTTCGATGAGTTTTATTGTTTATGAAAATAATTGAATTCTTGCTTAGAAGTAAATTCATTTGAAAGTTAAAAACTTTAGGAACATTGTAAGTAAATAACTTATACTTTGTAAGCAAATAATTAAAAAGTAAAAATTGCATCAAGTTAATTTTAAAAAAGAAAATATTCCTTTTTCGATATAAAAACTATGTAAACAATATATAGGTAATTTTTTTTTCCTTTGAAATAAAAACTGGAGCTCATCCAAAATTTATAAGGGTTGTGTCATGTATATATTTTTTTTTTGCCTGGCAATAGTTGCCATTTTTAACGTTCTCCTTTATATATATTAAACGCTTGCGTCACAAAATAGATCAGAGAAAATCCTCCGCCTTAATGACGTTGTTGTCTACTTTCTGTTAATTTATATCCACCTTCGAATGAAACTAAAACGCAAAAATAATAGGCGGAAAAAGGAGACAAAATTCACTCTATACCATTATACCGTAAAAATCCCTTTAAAAAAACGAAAAAAAAAATTATGAAACAATACTGAAAAAAATACTCAAAAAAAGAAGAGGAAAAAAAACTTTTAAGAGAAAAATGGGAGAAAAAAAAATAATAAACATTCCTTAAAAATCAAAATTTTTGAATAAATATAATAAAAAAAATTACTTTACAACACTATCAAATTTTTTTCTTTGAAATAAAAACAAATACTTGCAGTCTGATAAATTTTCAATTGTCAAGTAGATAAAAAAGGAGTAAAATTAATTGACAAGAAAATTGCGATTTAAAGTATACATGAAATCTTAATTTGTTTGATGTAATCTTTAGCAGGTATTAGCAGTCATAAAAGAATAAGTGCGTTGAATAATAAAAAAAATACTCTCTTATTATGAGGAGAATGTAATTAAGTGACAAAATAAAACCAATGAACAATGATAAACATTCTTTTACATCAAACTTTTCATATCAGCAAATTTTTTATACGGAACATTTGAATGTATCTCAAATATAATATTAAAATTATTTAGATAATTAAATATACACTAAATATTTCAATATTAATTCAAAAATTCATTATTTTATTCAAAAACCATTAAATTTATTCAACAATTAAAATTTTTTTTAAAAAACTAAAAAAAAGGTTTATTACCAAATATTAAAAAATCCTCAAAATAATTTTTGCGCAATCAATCAAAAACTTCCGATCACAAATTGAGAGCATTTCGAATGATTTTATCCATTTCCAATTAAGTTTCGTTTATTTTTATTCTCCAATATTCCGATTCGAAAAAACTATTGAAAGAGAAATATTTCTCTTTCTCTCAAACATGATTTTCAATTATTACTATTGTTGTAAATGAAAAATCCCCTTCTTTTTTTTTGCTAATCTATTATTCACAGTCAACTATTTCTATACTAAAAGTCCATACAAAAAACAAAAGTACACGATTGAATTTTTATTCGGTACCTTACATACATTTTTCAAGGACAACAATTTAACTTCAGAAAGCCGAAAGAATTCGACCCTGAAAGAACTCGGAAAGAAAGAATGAAAGAAAGAGGCGCGAAACGTGAGAGAAACTCCGCGCAGGCCAAGAAACAATGCCGACAAAAAAGGGCAAAATAACAATGAAATACTCACTGTCTGCATTCCCAAGAGGTTCATCAAGCGTTGCTATCGTTATATTTTGACTGTCAAAAAATCTCTTCACACTATGACAATCAGTCGTCTCATTATTAATATCCTTAATCGTTCGTCGAAAACGTGTGAATCCCACGTTATTTTTGCACAAACACAATAAAATAACGACTAACATTGGAATTGTTGACACGGGTTCCTTGAATAATTTCATTTTTGATTATTTTTCTTTATAAACACTTTGAAAAAGAATGAAAGATAAAAGGAGTTTTTATTAATGTTTCCAAGGGGGGATGTGGGAGGTTAGTTCCTCCACCGGCACCGCGAATTCTTATCGAGTGTCATTAACTGTTTTGTATATTTTTTGAGAGCCGGCAATGCGGATATGCTGTCAACTTGAATAATACGAAACACTTAAACACACGTGATTGACATTTATAAAGATGAGATAATATTAATAATCACACACCACTAAACTGACAACTCGCGAAAACTCCTTTCGCGGGCAAAAGGCACCTCTCGCACACGAAGACATATGCACGCATGCATGCACGCACGTCGCGCGTCTTCGGATTACTCGATGCAACTGTGTGTCACCCTGGAACGAGCGAATTGAAGAACCCTCGCGGTTTTATGTGAAACAGAACAGTGAAAATCACCGGGTCGAGAAAGAACATCTTTCAATGCGCTCGCTCGAACGAAGAATGGCTGACATCTTGCGCTTGTCGAGCGAACTCGCCCCGTCGGTAAGGTAGACCACTGTAATACTCTGTCGGTAACCTCTCTTGGTAACCACTGTTGGTACGAACGATCTGGGGAATTCCTTAGACTGTACGAGAAATCAATTTACCGACCATTTAGTATTGTGACAATTACACCCTGAATGATAACATAGTAAATTCTATCCGCATGCGGTCGAATTGTCGCGTATTTCAGTGAGTGTTCTGTACTTGATTCGTAATGATCTTGTTGTGAGACGAAGCGAATTGGAAATTTATTTTAAGTGTTTATATGGAGCGGTATGCTGACGATGAAATGGAAGAGCGAAGATCAATTCGCAATTCTGGTAAAGCTCTCAAAAAGTATGGAAGCACATCTAAACACATTAAACGAAATGAAATTATGATCAAACATGTTGTGTCCAAGTCAGATACACTTCAGGGAATCGCCCTTAAATTTGGAGTCACTGTACGTATACAAAATTAATATTTCTCATTAATTCATTTTTATTCTATTGACAGGTCGAAAAACTGTGTCACTATAATATTTTCCCCTATTTACTCATTTTATTCATTTTACTCGGAAAAATTTCTCTTCGCTCTGAATGATATTAAAATTGTAGTCATATGATCAAAAACTAGAAAGTAAATTAGAGATTCGTTGATTTTAACATAACCTTAAAATTATTTTGCAAACTTTATAATTTACTCTTTAATTTCGCTATTTAGTATTTTAATGATTTTAATATCCCACTTACGTTTTGCTTGGTTTACTCTTAACAAAGTCAAATATTTCATTTTCTTGCACGTGATATTTTCACGAATGAATGATCACTTTGCAAGGTCATTACAGTTTTGCCTTATTTTTCAACTTAAATTGTCATGATAATTATATCGGTATATTCTTACTATCTACTATTTTTTACTACTATTTTATTTTTTTACTACTATTTTCTACTATTTTCGCCAAGTTTATAGACGAGAACACAATTCATTTTTGAGAGAATAATTCAAATTAGAAAAAAATATAAGAATCTTGTCAAATTTGACATAAACAAAATTACATTTAAATAACGCATCAAACTAAATAAAATTAAATAATTACAAATTCAAAAAGTGTAACGTCGATTCTGTCAATGCTATAAAAAGAATTCTTTGTAGATTTGCATTTAGTAAAAAAATAATATTTCGATCCAAAATATTGTTTGCTCGTTTTTTTTACAAAAATATCTAGACTCGACAATTTAAAAAGATGTTTAAACACTTTTTTTATTTCCTGCACATTTGTACGTTAGAAAAAAAATTATATAATTTTGTTGATTATAATTTGAAATTGAATTATCTTAGTTATTTAATAAGAGAGATAAAAGAAAGATACTAAAATATCTTATCTGTAATGAATACGTTATTATCTCTTAAAACTTTTCGTTCCCAGTCATATTATATTTCGTCTTTTTTTGCTTGTTTTTGCATTTTGGATAATTAGAACTATAAATTATAATAATTTGGAAATAATTTTTTTTTACCAATATTTCACGTTTGGCAACAAACAGTTTAAAGGTATTAAAAATATCTAATCTGTATTATAGGTGATATTCGTATCTTATCATCTTTACAAAAGGAAAAATAGTAAAAAATACCAGTAAAACTATATTTGAATATTCGAAAAAAAGTAAAAAAGTAGAAATTAAATTCTGTATTGAAAAATTTCTATTTATTTTTTTTTCCTATATTTTTTTTTTTATTTAATTTCTATATTTATTTCTGTATTTCTATATTGATTTCTAAATTTCTGTATTAATTTCCATATTTATTTTTATTAAATTAAATTTCCATCAAATGCAATTTGTATGCAATGAAAATTTTTCAAAATGAACAATAAATGTCAATGAGTATTAATAGAAATTTATTTTCTTACAGACGGAGCAAATTAGAAGAGCTAATAGACTGTGGGCAACGGATAGCTTATTCCTACGAGAATATTTATTGATCCCAGTACCCGTGGATAATCCGTTATCTACTCCAAGCAATGATGCTTTGACTGAATCTGAATCCAATCACACGATTGCAAGTGTTAGTTTTCGACTATTTTTTTCTTTTTTTTTCGAAAATTGATGAAAAAATAATTAAATATTCTTTTCTAGACCTCTAGGTCCTCGTCGATATCGTCGTCCATAGACCAAGAAAGTTCTGTAGACGATTTCCTAGCGAGAATGGATTCATCAATAGCCAGTGTTAAGAAAGATGTCAAACGCGCTCAAGGAAATAGTGAGTAAGTTGAAAAAAAAAAACTCTTCCCCTTGTTTTTTTAAACAAAAATACAAATTTCTAAACTAATAAAGAAATATTAAATTAATTTAATAATCAAGAAGCCTAAACATTTAAATCAATAACAGGGTTGCCACAAAAATTTAATTTTGTTTTTCGGAAACATCAAAAACTTCTTTTTCAAATAAATATTTAATTATCATTTTTCCATAGGAATTGAGATTTTCAAAAATTTCAAATTCAAAACTTTTCGAAAATCAACAACTTATAAAATATTATTACGAAACATGAAGAAATCGATCACTCCGTCTTCGACTCGGAGAGATCGATTTCTTCATGTTTTTTATTAATTAAAGATGACCGAGTGATAATATCATTATTTTATAGTATAAAAATATTGTCACTGTAACTTGTTGAAAATTATTGTCATCATTTCCATTCAATTATTATTTTCTACAATTTTTTACTACTAAAATTCATCTTTAATTCAATTATTTTTAATAATTTTTCAAAAACTTCTTTAATTAAATATATTTTAGAAAATAAAAACTTCAAAGAATATTCAATTAAACTTAAAAAAAAGAATTCTACAAGAATTGTTATAGTTAAAAGTATGAAAAATTCAGATTTTCAAAGATTTTAATTTGAAACCTTTTCAAAATTCAATTATTTCTAAAAACTTACGCTAAAATGCTTAATGAAAATAAAAAAAATAAAATAAAAAAGAAATTAAAAATAAATAAAAAAAATAAATAAATAATAAAATGCTTAATTTTGTCGAAGAATTTTGCTATTCATTTATAAAGATAATTGAAATGTTGACGACTATTTTTTTTAGTTACTTGAAAATAATTGAATTTCTTCAAAGAATTTTATTCGTTTTAAAAATAATTGAATTCTTGTGACGAATATTGTTATTTATGAAAATAATTGAATTTTACAATGAATTTTATAAAAATTCCTGAAAATAATTGAATTTCTGCGAAGAATTTTATTATTTTTGAAAATAATTGAAATGTTGACAAAAAATTTTTTTTTAGTTTTTTGAAAATAATTGAATTTTTGCAAAGATTTTTCTTAGTTTTTAAAATAATTGAATTTCGTCGAAGAATTTTGCTATATATTTAGAAGGATAATTGAAATGTTGACAAGAGTTTGTTTTAGTTATTTGAAAATTGAAAATAATTGAATTTCTGCAAAGAATTTTATTCGTTTTGAAAATAATTGAATTCTTGTGATGAATATTGTTATTTATGAAAATAATTGAATTTTACAATGAATTTTATAAAAATTCCTGAAAATAATTGAATTTCTGCGAAGAATTGTATTAGTTTTGAAATTAATTGAAATGTTGACAAGAGTTTTTTTTTAGTTTTTTGAAAATAATTGAATTTCTGCGAAGAATTTTCTTAGTTTTTAAAATAATTGAATTATTGTGATGAATATTGTTATTTATGAAAATAATCGAATTTTACAATGAATTTTATAAAAATTCCTGAATATAATTGAATTTCGGCAAAGAATTTTGCTATGTATTTAGAAAGGTAATTAAAATGTTGACAAAAAGTTTGTTTTCAATTTTGAAAATAACTGAATTTCTAGAAAGAATTTTAATATTTTATTATTTATTAAGATAGTTAAATTCTTTCAAAGAATTACGTTAAAATTTTTTAAACTGAAACTATTTTCAGAATTGAAATTAAAATTTTTCAAAACAATACTTAATTAAATGATTTATAAGTAATAACTTTATGGCAGTTCTTCAATAGAATTAAGTTATTTAAAATAAATTATTGTCACTCAGAAATAGAAAAAATTTAAAGTATTTTTTATAATTCGTGGTACTTCTTAGTTTATGAGGCAAACAAAGACAAAAAAATCAGAATTTTCTTATAGATTCTAAACATTTAATTGTTTTCAGTACTTTTAATAAAAATCCCTAACTTTTTCCTGATTTCCCTGACCAATTCTACTTTCCCTGACTTTTCCTTGAATTCCCTGACCTGTGGCAATCCTGAAGAAGAACTAACCTAAAACTAACAAAATTTTTCTTCTCCTTTAGATTTTGTCACGAGGGTGACGATTCATTTATACAGAAACGAAAAGCGGTGGCGAGGTTACGAAATTCTCATCCAGTTTCTTCAAATCCTTACGCGCCAGTGACAACTTCAGAATTAGTTAATTCATTCTCGTCAAGCGATGTTCACAGTCTTCCATCAACTGTTGTCATGACACAAGGAAGACGAGTGCGGACATCACTGCAAAGACTTCAGCAACAGCAAGACGAAATGTTTCAATTGTAGCAATCAATTTGCGTACGAACAGCCGTGCGTTGAATCGTAAATTTATCGAATATTCCAAAAGAAAAATCAGAATCTAAAATTTATTTTGATGGTGCAATAATAAGAAAAAAAACCGAGTAGTGCTTAGTTGAAGAATTCAAAGAAAGAAAAAATAATCCTAGACCATATTATGGATCCCCAAAAAAAGGGAACCGTCTGTGCCTTTCCCTAAAAGCCTACATTATACTTTACAGCTATTTTCCCTTAATTTTTCTCAATCTCAATAATTCGAATCTTATTTTCCCAGTGGTGCAGATTTTTGAGATTCATCAAAGAGATTATTTATTCGTATAAGAAAAGGGACTGTTTTCTAGTTTTCTGTTTTTAGAAAATGTAGAAAGTTGAAGAAAGAAAAAAGAAAAGAGAGATAGTATTTTGGAATAAATTATTTTTCCAATTTTGTTTCTCCGAAAATAAAAAAAAAATTGTCGACGTATCAGAAAAAGAGACTTAAAATCGCACTTGCTTCCGAATATTAAATTCACATTAGGACAGATAATAACAAAACATTCACCAATTAACTCTGTCTTCTCTTATTTTAATACGGAACAATTCACCAGTCATTCGTTGATCGAATGCATTTTTTTTTCATAAAATATTGTAAAAAAGAAAACTGCAAATTCTATTGTCCATAAAAGTAGAGTAGACGATGTGCAGCGAAAACATTTTTAGAAAAATGAATCAATGTATCAAAAGAATCCATAAATACAGGGAAATATGAAAGATTCAGTAGTTAAAAAAAATAAAAAGAGAAATATTAAACAAACGGAATAAATGAACAAAGTATAAAATGACTGAAATTCGAAACAAAATAAACGAAGAAGTAGAAAAAGAAAGATACGAATAAAAAAAGTTTGTAAAAGCATATTTTACAGGCACGAAAACTAGAATTGATCCAAAAAAAGAAACATTGTCTCGACTATAGATAGAAGAAAATGATTCGAATAATGCACACATTTTGAGTTTTGCTATTTCATACACAATGAAACAATGTATTATAACAGTGTTGTATAGTAAAACTTAAAAATAATTTCTTCTAAAACGAAGAAATTCGATTTTAAGTGTAACAATAATTCGCTATATTTAAGTAGTTTAATTTAAAAAGAAATAATTATTATCGTCAAACGAATATGGTATTGTCAGTACCTGTGATTGTTTTCACTTTAAAAAAAAAAAAAAACGTGTCATTCCTTTAAGTAAAAAAAAGTGTTAATATACGTATTCAGCTATTTAAAAATCATGTACAAAAAAAATGACAAAAAGTATGTATACTTCGTTGGTGAATTTATGAAAGAAAGTGTTGTTAAGAATATGTGATTTGCATATTTGAAAATTACAATTTTCTTCAGTATTATGCATTGAACAAATTACAACTAAATTAAATTTAGAAACACTTTCTTTCGGAATTTCAAATCGTTAAGTCTCTAAAAATAAGGAAAAACTCACTAATTGTCCTTATAATATCAATGCAATAATTATTAATTTAATATAATTATCTATTAATTTATTAATTAATATAATTATTAATTAATAATCCTATTAATTCGATATTATGAATAATTTAACAGAAATTAAATTTAAAAATGGCAAATTTAGATTGAAAATAGCAAATTTAAATTAAAATTGCTAATTTGTTTGCGAATTTAAATTTAATATCTTAATTTAGAGATTTAAGGGTTAAAAATTCTTTCCGCTTAAGCGGACGGCTGTAATTTGAAAGTTATTTATAAGAAACACTTTACCGTCATGGATCTAGTATATACCCTTAAATATACTCAATCGCGATTGTGTAAAGATATCAATTTTCAGTTTTTGATAAAGAAAATTGAAAAAAAAATGTATTAATTCAAAAAAAAAATTGTGTTAATAATTCGTGAATTTTCCGAACAGCTTCAAGATTAATTTTCCAAGAAAATTGCTTAAAATTTAGTTTTTAGAAAATCATCACAATCAAATAAATAATATATGATCATTTAAAACTGTATTTTCTCAACTTGGCCCTTTCTCATATAAAAAATAATTATTCTTAATAGAGCGCAAAAATTATTTACGATCATCACTTACGAAACGAAAAAAAGAAAAATAATATTTACACTCACATTTTTTTTTCGAATTTGTAGTTTAGTATTTTTTTTTAGACTCTCTCTAGTTTCTTACTAAACCAACGATTAAAGTCGAGCCTTAAAAGTAATTGTGCCAAGTGCTCGCCACTTGGTTGCGAACGAACTCGACTTAAAGTTTTCGTTAACCAATCCATTAAACTTTCCAATGTATCGTAAAGTTTCTGAAGTTCCTCTCTCTCTGAATCCAATAAGTTTTCCATATTCCAAAGAGACGATTGTAAAATGAAATCATCACAAAGACGAAGTAACAATTGTATAAGATCGTTTACCTTTGGAAAAAATAAATAATTAAAATCGTCTTTTCAATTTCAATTTCAACATTTTGTTTTCTGATAAAATTTGAAAAAGAACTTACAGGATTTCTTTTCCCAACATTACTGCTCAATAGAAAAGTTTGCGACATCACATTTGCCATAAAAATAGAATGAGCTCGTTGAATTTCCTCGAAATTTCTCGTTATTTTCATACTATTTTCCATTAATGTGTACTGACTTTCAAGAACGTCGACTTGAAGATAATATTGTAAATTATCGACAATGAATATCAAATTATTCCTCAATTGGATCACATCTATTTCTCTGAAAATCACAGAACCGAATTATTATTAATTAATTTTACTCTTAAAATACTTTATAAATACTTTTTAAATACTTTTGACCAACAGAAAAAATTTCAATTACATATTTTTGGACCGCGCGTGTTCTCTCCAAAGATTCCATAAATTAATCTGTGTTTTCTTCACTCTCAGCAAAAATCGAAAGAGGGAATTATAATCCTTCAAAGTCGCCGGACTGAACAATAAATGTAGAGGCCAAACAACTTTATACTGCAGAACAATCAAACCCCAACCTCGTTTTTCTAGAAACAAAAATGTTGAATTATTTTTTTGTGCAATTGAGAAATTGAATTTTTCACAAAATTACAGACTTTTATTAATTAATTCTTAATTAATTAAGAATTACAGACTTTGCACTCGATAATTAATTTTAAAAAAGTATCAAAAAATAGCTTTCAAACTAAAAAAAGTAGTTAAAAAGTAGCTATCGAAAAAAATAAGCTTGACGACCAAAAAAACTCGTTTAAGAAACTTCAGAAAACTGACAAAAATTCCTTTCTATATTTTAATAGAATTTATTTATTTTCCTGACTTTTTCCTAATTTTCATCAAAAATATTTACTTCTTCTTTATCCTGCTAATGAATTAAATTCCTGCAACGAATTCTATTATATTCATGAAAGAATTTAAATATTTATAAAAATAATTTAATTCTTGCGAAGAATTTTATATTAAAATGTTAAATTATTGATTTCTTTGTACTAATTTTATGCAAATTCTAATTTAAATAATTGAATTCTTGAGAAATTTTTATTATTCATGAAAAGAATTGAATTCTTACCAAGACTTTTCTAAAAAATTTTTAAATAATTGAATTCTGTTTGAAAATTTTATGAAAATAGTAGATATTGAAAATCATTGAATTGCGAAAAGTTTTTAAAAATAATTAAATTTTACAAAGAATTCAATTAAAATTTTTGACAATAATTAAATGTCTGTGTGGTATTTTATTAAACTTTTTTGAAAATAATTGAATTCCTAAAAAGCATTTTATTATTTATGAAAATAATTGAATTTTGTAAAGAATTTTATTAAAATACCACAAAATAATTGCATTTTCGCGAATAATTTTGTTATTTATCGACATAATTGAATTTTCTCGAAGAATTATTTATGGAAATAATTGAATTCTTGAGAAGAATTTTATTAAAATCTAAAAGAATAATTGAATTATTTCAAACAAATGTGATTAAAGTATTTGAAAATAATTGAATTCCTGTGAAAAATTCTAATATTTTTGTAAAGAATTGAATTCTTCCAAAAATTTTTAAAAAAGCATTATTTTAAATTAATTTTTTTAAGAAATTGAATTGCGATTTAAATTTATTATTTTTAATAAAAATTGAATTTTTGTCAAGAATTTGATTATTTTCATAAAAATATTTAAATATTTTGTCAAGAATTTTAATAAAACTTTTGAAAATGTTTAAATTCTTTCGACGAATTTTATTAAAATTCTTGACAAAAATTTAAATATTTTTATAAAAATAATAAAAATTCTTGATAAAAATAATTGAATTTTTCTGTAAAATTTTATTATTTATGAAAATTGAATTTCTGTGTAGAATTTAATTCATTTGAAGCTTCTTTATTTTTGAAAATAATCGAATTTATCGAGTTTTCTTTTTAAATTGCATTGATAATTATCGAATTTCTGCCAAGAATTTTACTAATATTTTTGAAAATAATTGAATTCTTCGGAATTGTATTATTTATTTTGAAAAAATTTAATTCTTGCATAGAATTTAATAAATATTCTATTTTAAAAGAATAAAATTCAATAGAAAATTTTTTATTTTAAGAAATAATTGAATTCCTGAGAAGAATTTTATTATTTATGAAAATAATTGAATTATTGCGAAAATTTTTATTAAAATGTTTAAAAAAAATTGAATTTCAGTGTAAAATTTTGTTATTTTTGAAAATAATTAAATTCCTGTGAAAAATTCTAATATTTTTGTAAATAATTGAATTTTTGTCGAGAAATTTTATCGAAAATAATTAAATTTATCTGTAAAATTGTATTATTTATGAAAATTGAATTTCTATGCAGAATTTAATTCATATTATATTTAAAAAAAAAATTGAATTCATTTGAAGCTTTTTTATTTTTGAAAATAATCGAATTTATTGAGTTATTTTTAAATTGCTTTGAAAATAATTGAATTTCTGACAAGAATTTTACTAATATTTTTAAAAATAAATGAATTCTTCAGAATTGTATTATTTTTAAAAATAATTGAATTCCTGCGTAGAATTTAATAAATATTCTACTTACAAAAATTTAATTCCTGAGAAGAATTTTATTATATTTATGAAGATAATTAAATTATTGCGAAATATTTTATTAAAATGTTTAAAAAAAGAATTGAATTTTTCTGAAAAAGTTTTTTGTTTTTGAAAATAATTAAATTTTTTGATTAATTAATTTAAAATAATATTGAAAATAATTGAAATTCTTCAATGAGTTTTATTATTTATGAAAATAATTGAATTCTTGCTTAGATTTTAATCCAAAAAATTTTTTAAAAATTGAATTTCCATAAAAAATGTTATTATTAGTGAATATAATTGAATTATTGTGAAGAATTGTATAAAAATTTTGTTAAATAATTGATTTTTCGAAATTTTTTTGTAAATGCTATTCTAAATTAATTTAATTTCTGTGGAAATTTGATTATTTATGAGAATAATTGAATTTTGGATGAATTTTATCATTTTTTTTTAAATAATTGATTTTTTTTTGCGAAATTTTATGAAAATAGTAGATATTGAAAATAATTGAATTAAGAAACATTTTTTAAAATAATTGATTGGTTTTAAAGAATTTGATTATAATTTTTGAGAATAGTTTTTTGATTTCTAGTGTTAGCGATTTTAAAGTAAATTTTAAAAAAAATTAGAAATAGTAGCTTTTAGTGGTTAAAATCTAAAAAAAACCCAAATAGTAGCATAACGTAAAAAAGTAGTAAATAGTAGGTTTTAGTAGATGAGTGCAAAGCCTGAATTTTCTTTTCAGGTAAAAATTATCTATACTACCGATTGGATCCTCTCGATCCTTTCCTTCATCATCGGCGGTAGTTTTGCTGGGCGGAAGATTAACTGAGAAAGTAAATCGATCCATGGCACTTTCGTCGTTTGAATATAATTTTCTCAATGCTGCTTGAAAAGTAAAATTAACATCCGGCGATGTATGATTCGTTGGAGCAATATTGAGAATATGCGAGGTGAGTCTAATGAATTCGAGAAACAAATCTCCTCTTCCCATTAGATAGAAATCTTTTATTAATTTCAACTGTTGCATCAATTGTGCCTCTTCAATTGTCACCTGCCATAAATGCTCAGTGACACAACGTTTCAAATCGTCAACAGTTTTCTCGAATTTCATCACATTGAATTTCGTCTGCATTTGTAGACTCTGAAGTTTCTCGAAATGCTCATTCTCCTTGTCGCCCCAAATTGAATTTTCCAATTTGCCTTCGTACCACAATTCTAGATCATTAATGAAAAAAAACCCAATTAATTAACTAATTTAACTAATTTTCTTATTAATTAACAAAAATAGTTTATACGTAACGTAAAATAGTTTTGTCTTATTAATCTTTTTTATTAACTAAAATAGTTTGTAAATTAGTTCAATTAAATTAGTAAATTAATTTTGTCTAAAGAACAAAAATTTTGTATTCTTTGGGAATTTTTCTTTGAAAAAAAAAACCTTTTTTCTGACGTGGATCGTTTCCGAACATGATGACAGTTTGTCCGATAGACAAGATTTTCGAGGCCAAAGTGGTTCGAATGTAGGAAGGAAGCATATCAATTTGTATATCGTAATTCCACATATTCACACATTTTGCCTCCGTTGTACCGCTATTCATTCCATCGACTGAAATTCCAAGATCGTCTGAGTCATCCGCGCTTTTTTGAATAAAAAACTCCTTGTGCTCGTCTTCCAATTGTCCATATAAAAGCCAACTTATAAGATGCTTGCAGAAAACGACATGCATACAACGCATTACTCTGAAAAATTAAATTTCATTTCTCAATTTTTGAAATTATCAACCAAAAAAAAAAAAACATTAATTAGTCTTCTTACTTTTCAAGAGCTTCTTTTACTTCGGGAATTCCTGTATTCGAATGCTTATGCACGCACTGCAATAATTTACATCCATAAAGTTTTCGACTCTGAATCTAGAATTAAAAATTAAATAAATCGTAAATATATTTATTTTATTAATAATTAATTAAATTCAAATTAAATTGTTTTTTATTAAATTAAATAAATCAAATGAACATACCTCTGATATAATTGAATTGAAAACACAAAATAAGGAGAGATACTTTTGTAAACGGCAAAGAATCATCGACACCGGTGTGTGAGAATCATTCAAAACAATTTGCTCCATTTCGATGATTTCTTGTCGAAAAGGTTCCAGAGCTTCGTCCATTCCATTACAAAAAGCTCGTAAATATAAACCAAAAACTAAATCACTTTCTGTATAAAGAAAATCAACATTTATTTTCTCAATGAAGAATATTCACAATTTGTCTAAAAATAAATACAGGGTGGTCACAAGTTTCAGTTTATCAATTTTCCTGACAATTTACTTTCAATACAATATTTTTAAAATTGAAAATATTTAAAAAGAAATGGAAAAATAATTCCAAGAATTAGTTTTAAAATTATTTTAATGTAACTTTTCGAAAATAATTGAATTTCTTAAAAGAATTTTTGTATTAATTTCTTGAGGAATTTTAATTAAAAATTTTGAATGTGATTTTTTTCACCAAAATGTTAAAAATAATTCTAAAATATAATTAGAAGCTAATTTTAATTTTTAATGTAGATACGTTATTTAAAGATTTTTCATTAAAATTTTTGATAATTCAATCATTATTTTCAAAATTTTAAATTAAAACTCTTAAAAAGTTGAATTTCAAAAATTTTAACAAAATACATTGAAAAAAATTAATTATTTTCAATTAAATTTTACAAAATTTCAATTATTTAAAACGATTTTTATTATACCTAGATATATTTGAAAAATTTAATTTTATCTTAAAAAATTATTCAAGAATAATTTTTGAAAGATTTGTTTTAGGTAATTTTTTTACTATAAAAATCGAAATAATTTGCATTTAATACTAAAAAAAAAGTTGTATTTTGTTGCAATATTTGGAAGAAAAGTCGCAATTTTTGAAAATAAATTGAAAAAAGTTTTAATTTTCATAATTTTCCTGACAAAAAATTTTTTTTCCTGTCATTTCCCTGACTTCACTGACAAAAATTTAGTTTTTCTGACTTTACTGACATGTGGCCACCCTGAAATAAAACGAAAAATTTACAAATATCGACAACTTACCAGTATAATTTTTATTCTGCATATCGACAGACGAGTAACGTTTAATAAATTTTCTTATTCGATTGCATTCTTGAACAATCTCCAAAATCTCTTTCATTATAGCTATTTCTCCTGGATGAAGTCTTTTACTCGCATCTTCAATCTAAAATTGCAAAAATAATACTAGAAAAACAAACAATAACAATTATACTATTATAGGGTTTTAAACAATATTTCCGCAAAAAAACAAATTCTTATAGGTTATGTTCTCTCAAAAAATGCAAAAAATGCATGAATTCTTTAAGAAAAAAAAAACCAACACTATTTTAATCACGAACATTAAAAATTAGTTAATTACAAATACTTACGTCTGTGTTAATAATTTCTGCAACACTAGTTGTACACCCCCAGAGAGATAATAGTATTTCGTGCAACATTTTGAAGAACTCTTACTTTTAATAACTTATATAGTTAAAAGTAAAAATATCTCACTATTTGTGAGATTATCTCCCTATTATTCCCCGCACTCAATTTGATCACATTTTTATAATAGAAACTTTCAAAAATTGTCAGTCCTCAGTTGACAAATTTTGATTTTTGTTTACAAAATGACAAAGCGCGTGAGAAGAACGCACAACGCAGGTTTTTCCAGTCAGCTGATTGTCGAACATAACCTTCAATTATTATGTGCGCGCGCGTTTGTCATAATGTCATCCAAAGATATTTGCTGGAATTCTTCAACATAATTCAGGTTTTTGTTCAGTTTATTATTAACAATCATTCAGTGAATCTTTCTTTATTTTCCCATTCTAATCAAGTAGAATCAATTAACACTTTTCTGTTAAATTCTTTATTATTCAAATACCTAACCTCTTGTCTTTTCATGATTGCATCTAAATTCTTGTGTTTTGTTAATTAATTATATTTTTATGTATTAATTCAATGTTAGTAAAAATAGTAACAATAATAGCAAATAATAACAATAATATATTAACATATTAATATTTAATATAAAGATATATATATATATATATATATATATATATATATATATATATATATATATATATATATAATATTTCAATCATTTCAATATTAATATCATTGGAACCATTGGAATAAATATCAACTGTTGATACATAAATATTCCTGTTTCAAATGATCATTCATAAGGGTTTAATTAGAATTTATTTTTGTCCGTTTCACTTGTTCGTAAATCGATTACCGTTAAATTATTTATTAATTTTATTTTATCACGAAGGCAAAGTTGTGTCTAGATTTAAAACGAATTGTTCTTAAAGGAAGCAGCGTGCTAATTAAAGGAACAGCGAAAAAAATTCACTTTATTTAATATATTGCACTTGATTTAAAAACGTAAGTATTTCAATTTTCTTCTATTTCTTGGCTATAGAATAATATAACAATAATAACTAATAATTTTTCTATGAATTATTCTATAATAATTTTTTTCTATGACTGTCATAATTAAAATACGAATAATTTTATTAGTATTTTAATTAATATGATGATAATCTATATTAATAATCGTTGTAGAATTCCGGTAATTTGTTCGCAGTTTGAAATTAGGTATTTGTTGTTTGCTCTTTTGTTTCTTAACTTTTTTAATAATAATTTTTCTTTTTAAATATTTTCAATTTAAAAATTAATATATTGAAATTCATCGAATTGTTGCAAAGAATTTTATCAAAAAATTTCATAATAATAGAATTCCTTTAAAGAATTTAATTATTCAGGAAAATAATTGAATTCTCGCTAAAAAATTTTGTTAAAATTTTGGAAAATTTTAATTAAATTCTTTTTGAAAAATTTCTTTGAATTTTTTTTTAAATAATGTAGTTTTTTTTAAATAATTTTAATTAAAAATTTTGGAAATATAATTGAATTTTATGAACAATTTCTTTCAAGTTTTCAAAATGATCGTGTATGTTAATAATTGAATTTGAACAATTAATTATTGCATTTTATTAAAATTTTAGAAAAAAATTGAATTTTTTCGTGAAATTTTTTTTTAAATAATTGAATTATTGCAAAGAGTTTTTTAAAAATAATTGAATTATTACCAAGAATTTTATTATTTATAAATATAATTGAATGTTTCGAAGAATTTATTAAAATTTTAGAAAATAATTTAATTTTTTCAAAAAATATGATTAAAGATTTTTAAAAAATTGAATTCCTCATGAAATTTTATTAAGATTGTATTAGGTCATAGAAAAATTATTAGTATTTCAATTATGACCTTCAGGTCATAGAAAAATGATCAGTATTTTAATTATTACTTTTAGGTCATAGAAAAATTATTAGTATTTTAATTATGACCTTTAGGTCATAGAAAAATTATTAGTATTTTAATTATAACAGTTTATTATTAATTAATTTTTATTAGAGATTTTTTATTGAGCCTTAAAGTATTTTTGATTGTAATGAATTCTTTTGGAGAGATTCTAAGAAGTATTTTTTATTTTAGGACAATAATGGCGAAAAAGGACGAGGGTATTATAACGAGAGAGGATTTCGACGCCGGACCTTCGAGTTGCAATGAAATTGAGCCAAATCTCTACTTGGGAAACTTAACGGCAGCTACAGATTCAGAATGGTTGAAACGAGAGCAAATAACACACATTTTAACAGTCGATTCATGTCCATTGCCAAGGAAAATTCAAACCCTCCCTGACATCACATTGAAATACATCCAAGTCACTGATATGCCTCGCGAGGACTTACTGACCTACTTTGAAGACACCTATCAATTTATTCTCTACTCATTGGAACGTGGCGGTAAAGTTCTCGTTCATTGTTATTTCGGAGTTTCACGTTCAGCAACTTTAGTAATCGCCTACATGATGAAAAGGCACAATATGACTTTTACCACAGCCTTTGACGCTGTGAAAAAGAAGAGACGCTTTGTTGGTCCCAATCCCGGATTTCTCGCTCAATTAAAACTCTACGAGCACATGAACTTCAGCGTTGACAATACGAATATTCAATTTAAATTATATCGACTTCAAATTGCCGCCGATAAAGTGAGAAAGGCAAAAATTCTCCCACAAAATTATATGGATTTGGTGAAGGCTGATCCTGCATTGACCACCGTTCGGCCGGAGCCAACAGTTTATCGTTGCAAAAAGTGTCGGCGAATTGTCGCGAACGCCAGTAATATTCTACCTCATTCGCCGAAGGAGAAGCAAATTTGGCGACACGTCAGTATTAAAAAGGGAAACGACAAAACTCTGCCAAAGCAAATAAGAAACTTACAAATGCCAGAGACTGCGGCAAAGCAGCAGCAGCAGGAAGAGGCGAAAACTGTCGAGATGTGTAACAAGACTTATTTCATAGAACCACTCGCCTGGATGCCGGACATTACGCACAATGTGGAGGGCAAACTCAACTGTCCAAAATGTAATTCAAAATTAGGCTCTTTCAGCTGGATTTCTGGCTGTCAGTGTCCTTGTGGCAGTAAAATTGCTCCCGCCTTCTATCTCGTTCCTTCTAAAGTCGACTGGAGCAATGCAGTACAAAATGTCGAGTCGACGATTTAAAAGAAAATCATTTTCACCAGGATTGGCAAAACAAATTCACAATTTTAGATCGAAATTATGATCTAAATTCAGAATTGAATTTTCAAAAAAAAAATTGCAACGAAATTAATTGCTTTTGGTTTCAATTTGGCAAAATAATGTAATTATTTTTGCTTTCATTTCAAAATACGGAACCAAAAGCAATTAATTTCGTTCCGATTTTTTTAATTTTCAATTTTCAATTTCAAATTTAGAATCTATTCTGAATTTAGAATCGAATTTCAAAAATTTGCCATACCTAATTTTTACCATGTACTTCCATTTCAAAGGAAATCATTCCGATTCTTTTTGCTCAACTTTTTTGAGAATTCTGAATTTCCGTATTGAATGAGCGCTATATTTAATATTAACAGTCAGGCCTTGGATATTATGACTTTTTCGACTTTTTTCAACTATTTTCAAATAATGCGACAAAATAACATAGTTTTAGTATAAAATGCAACTTATTTTGATTTTTATAATGCAAAAAATAACTATAAACAAATCAGAATGTCTACTAATCGAGAAATCCGGGAAATAGCCGGGAATTTAATCTGACCGGAAATAAGCCAGATTTCAGGAATTTTTTACCAAATCGGAAATTTTTTCACCAAATTAAAAAAAGTTTTATTATTTTAATTTGATTTTAAAAAATCCCTTTTTATTCCAATTTACATAGCTATTTTTTGAATTACTTAAAACTAATTAATTTTATAGTAAAAAATCAGTCATTGATTCAAATATAGTATGAAAATAAATTTAAAAAAAAAATCATCGAATTAATAGAAATTTTGTGAAATTCAACTGAAAATAATTAAATTTATTAAAGAATTTCATAAAAAACGTTTTAAAAATCGAATTTTCAAAGTATTTTAATTTAATAATTGATGATTAATTGAATTTTATAAAGAATCACATTCTATTAAAAATAATTAAATTCTTTCAAAGAATTTTATTTCAATTTTTCGAAAATAATCAAGGGAAGTTAGTCACCGTAATTATAATTTTATTTTTAAAAATTTCTTTGCAATATATTCAATTATTTTCATAAATAGTAAAACTCATTGCAGAATTTCGATTATTTTTAATACAATATTTTAATCGAATTCCTCGAAAAATGTAATTATTTTTTAAAAATTTTATTCAAAATCGTCGAAAGAATTCAATTATTTTTAGAAACTGAAAAAAAATCTTCTTAAGAATTCAATTATATTCATAAATTTCCATAAAATTCTAATAAGCAATTCAATTATTTTGAAAAGTAATAAAATTCTTCGCAGAAATTCAATTATGTTTACAAAATTTTTTAAATTCTCCTCAAAATTTCAATTATTATAAATAGTTATAAAGTTATTTATTATTATAAATAGTTAAATTGTTCTCCACAATTCAATTATTTTCTAAAATTTTTATAAAATTCTACGCAAACATTTAATTATTTTCATAAATAATAACATTCTTTGGAAGGATTCAATTACTTTTATAAATAGTAAAATTCTTTGCAGAAATTCAATTAGTATCAATACATTTTAATAAAATTGAATTAATCAAATTTTCAATTCTAATTATGAACAGACAAGATTATTTTAAAAAATTGAAAAAATTCTTTGTTTAATTCAATTATTTTCCAAATTTTTAATTAAAATTATTTAAAAAACATTATTTTCAAAAAATTTAAAGAAACTCGTCAAAAGAATTTAATTATTCATAAAAACTGTAATAAAAATTTTCGAAACCATTTGTAGATTTATTTTTATTCGAAATCAAATAAATTTAAATTTGATGAGAAAAAAAACCGGGAAAAAGCCTGGAAATAACCGGGAATTTTGTTGAACGAAAATATTTTATTACAATTTTTGAAAATCAACTTTTGAGGAGTTTTCATTGAAAATGATTGAAAATAATTGAATTCTGAAAAATTTCAATGAAAAATTTTCAAGTGCAAATTTATAATTATGAAAATTAATGAAAATTAGGTTCTAAAAATTATATTAAAATATTTTTGAAAAAAGTAATTTTTCCTTGTAATTTTTGAATGTTTAATTATTTTCAATAATTTTCAATTACATATTTCCGAAAATTCAAATACATACAAAAAATTATAACATTAAAATTTTTTAGAATTATTTTTAACATTTTCGAAAAAACAATCATGTTCAAAATTTTTTATTAAAATTCTCAAAAAAATTATTTTTTTTTAAATTGTACAAAAATTCTTTAAAGAAATTCAATTATTTTCGTAAAATTACATTGCAATATATTTTTAAAAAACTGAGTCTTATAATATTGTTTCATAATAATTTTTTAATATTTATTTCTTTTTATATTTTTCAAAAATTCAATTATTTTTAAAAAGATTTTACCAAACTTCAATTATTATTCTAATTAAATTTTTTAAAATATGCAATTTAAAAAATTTTCAATAACTAATCATATTCAAAATTTTTAATTAAAATTCTTCAAAAAATTATTTTTTTTTAAATTATACAAAAATTTTTCAATTATTTTCGAAAAATTACTTAACAATATTTTTGAAAAACTAATACTTAAAATTGATTAATTAAATTTAAAAATCAGTGGAGAATCAGAGAAATACAAAATAAAATTTGTGTGACAACATTAAATGAAATAAACGACTTTTTCGACTTTTTTTTCTATTTTTAATCGACTAAAGCGACTTTTTTTGCTCGTTAAAGTCAATCCGAGGCCTGTTAACATTAAGATTCATAATTTTGTGATATTAGATTATTCGATAGTTTTATATAGAGAGTGAATAGTATTTCCGGATAGTCGATTGTTTCATTCCAAACTAGAAACGCTTTTTATGACTGTCGTCGAGACTTCAATTTCAGTTTTCAAAAATGAAAAAATTGTTTACAAATTTTTTTTGAAAACTAAATTTGTCAAAATGTTATTTTTCATCAACTAATTACTGTGTTAATTTATTCTATAAAATATCTTTAAGTATCGCTGTTAATTTTTCAGTAACGAAACTCGAAAAATTAACTTCCTGACAGTGTCAAATATTTTTTAAATTTATTCCTACAAATAAAACCCAATTTTTTGGGAATAGATCTTACTTAGCAATTTAAATAATTTATACTATATTTTCAAAATAAGGGAAGAAATCGATAAGAATGAAAATTACTTTTATAGATAAAATGTCTAGACTTGTTAAATTTTACGTCGTATTGTATAATCTACTTTTTTCTCTGAATTCTTTGAAAATTCTACGAATAATTTCAAAATTTTACTTTCATTAAAAATAACGTCGTTCAAGTTCACAACGCTTTTAATCAACGATTAATTAAAATTATTTTTCCACACGGAAAGTAATATTTTTCTGTCTACAAATTTTTCTTTCTAAAAATAAAAAGAGAAATTTGTAAAAAAAAATCTTTCGTTTTAAAAATTAATCGAAAAGAGAAATTCGTAAAAATTTTCCAGGGAAAATCTTTCGTCCTAAAAATTAATCGAAAAGAGAAATTCGTAAAAATTTTCCAGGGAAAATTTTATAAAAGTTTGCCTAGAAAAACATTTTTCTTCCAAATTCTCTGACGATAAACCGTCGTGAACTTCAATGTTAAAAAAATAACGCACTTTTTTGAATTTGCAATAAATTTCCCCAAAAAAAAACTTTCTTCAATTTAAAAATTATACACTTTTTGCATAGTTTTGCATGTTTCACATAAACATTTTAATTGCAAAGTAAAACATGAAACAAATTTGTAAATTCTCTTGTAGAAAATAGAAAGGGAAAATTTTGTTCAACAATTTTTTATGATATAAGAGGGACCAAGTTGAAATTTGCTGAAGTAATTTTTTTAAAAACAGAAAGTTAACATTTAGAAAAAAAAGTTACGAGTGAGAATGTAAGAAAAAAATAACACTGAAAATATAATAATATCAGTGAACAAAAATTAAGTTAATCTAAAAATGTTAATATACTGAAAATATGAATTTAACACTGAAAGTGTATTAAAGTTAATTCTTAAAAAAAATTTATCTCCGAATAAAAAATATTTACTTTTAAAATTATGTAAAAATTACACAAAAAATATAATTGTAACAAAATATGTAAATTGAACATAAAAAAAGTGTAGAAAAAAAACAAAATATATAAATTGAACATAAAACTAAAAAATATAAATTAAACACAAAAAAAATTGAACATAAGAACAAAAAAATTGAAAATAAGAACAAGAAAATATAAATTGAACATAACAAAAAAAAAATATAAAAACATAAAAAATAATATGTAAATTAAATATAAAAAAACCAAATATATACATAAATATATAACAGACGAGAAACATATGTTGAAAATAGCAAAACGTGTAATAAAGTTGAAACAACTTATATTTTTGGCAAACAATAATCCTAAAGACGTCCATTTTTGCAATATTTTAATTCCGAATTATTATAAAAGTTCAATAATAGATTATATACATAAATAAGTGAGAGATTTTTCTTTTAAATTGCTCATTCGATACTGAATTTAAATGAAAGCCTAAACTTCTTTCTACATAGCTCTTCTAGTTTTTTCAACATTATTTATTGAAGCAATACATGAGACTAAAGTCCGCAAAGTTTAACCAAAAACCAAGAGAGGAAAAAATAATTATTTTCGTTTCAAATTTCAATACTTTGTAGACAAGTTAAGAAATAGTTTTTTTTTTAATGTAGAAATTCCTTTGTAAAATGCGAAAATTAATTTCTTAATTAATTAAATTTAATTTATAATTAATTTTGATGAATTAACGAATTAATTTTTTTTTAATTTGAATTTCATTCACAAAATATTGTTTATTATAATTAAAAATTAATTTTTAACTAAAATAAATGTTTAGTTAGAATTTAACTTAAATTTAATTAAATTAAATTTCTAATTAATTTAATTGACTTAATTTTCTAATTAAATTAATTGAATTAATTTTCTAATTAAATTAAATTTTTATTTAATGTTCTAATTAATTTTTTAATTAAATTTTTAATATAACTAAAAATTAATTTTTAACCCAATAAATGTTTTTCATGTCAGTTTAGTAATTTTTTAAAATATTGTAAAACAAAAAAAAATATTATATGTTCATTTGAACGTTCAAAAACTTCAGGGAAAATATTTCTCAAAATTTGTCTACACAAAAATTAGAGATAAATTACCTTGAGTAAAAATTTTTTATTTTTCGTTTTTAAAAACGCGAACTTTAGTCTCATTAAATAAGACTCAAAAATCGATGTGGTTCGATTTTTTAAATATAATAATAATTCTAATCATGTGCCAACGTGTTTACTAAAATACAAAGAAAAATGTTATATTTACGATTTTTAAGCTTTTATCAGCAAATGAAAAGTGAACTTTTAATATTTATATCGCATCTCTTTATTATTGTTCTACATTACATATAAAAGTAATTCGATGTATTGTCTACTGTTTATTCTATATAATATATAATATATATATATGTGTTAAAACTTAAGGTATTTATTCTACAAAGTACCAATTTTTAAATTACCCTGTATTTCAGTTCCTTCGAAGCGTATATTTTTTTTCCAAACAAAACTCCGATTTTTTTCTTTTATAAAAAATATATCTAATCTTTTAATTTATTTTCTTTCTTCGCAAAAATTATCACACGCATAATGGATTTTCTCCTAAGGTACAAAAAAAATGTAGATAATATTTTGAATTTTAAAAAATCTATTAATTAATATGGCATTTTTTTGGCCTTTTGATCTTGATTCTCTTTTTTTTGCAGATAAGGAAAAAAACAGGGTTGCCACAGGTCAGGGAAATCAGGGGAAAGTCAGGAAAAGTAGAATTGGTCAGGGAAATCAGGGAAAAGTCAGGGATTTTCTATTAAAAGTACTGGAAAAAATTAAATGTTTACAATTTATAAGAAATTCTGTTGAAATTAGTTTCAATTTTAAAAATTTTAACGCAATTCTTTGAAAGAATTCGACTAATTTAATAAATATTAAAATTCTTTCGAGAAATTTAATTATTTTCAAAAATTAAAAAAAATTCTCGTCAACATTTCAATTATCTTTCTAAATAGCAAAATTCATCACCGAAATTCAATTATATTTAGGAATTTTCATAAAATTCATTGTAAAATTCAATTATTTTCATAAATAACAATATTCATCACAAGAATTCAATTATTTTCAAAAATTTTTCTCAATTCAATAATTTTCAATATTTTACTAGGGGAACATAGTCTAGGTCGGCCACCTTTTTGACTTTTGTTTATAACTTTTTTTTAAAAATGAATTTGGACAATTGAAGTATATGGTTGGAAAGTCCTGTTTAATAGGAACATTTTTTCTGTACAAAGTAAATTGACAGGTTTAAAAATGAAAAAGTTATAAAGATTTAAAAAAAAAAAAATTTGTAGTCCAGGTTGGCCATTACAGTCAAGGTCGGCCATGTTTAAAATTCAAAGGGCATTAATCGTTAAAAAATAAAATAACATGTTTGGAGTTACGGAAAATTGATTCTTTATTGTTTACAGTTTGTAACTTAATGAAATAACAAAATAATAACAATAAACAATATAAAAAAATAAATATAAATAAAAAAAAGTTTTGCACTAAAATATTAATAAAATTAAATAAAAATATTAATAAGATGATCAATTATATTATGAGTTATACAGAATTGCAGTTTTTGCAAATGAAGTAGCTCGTCCTCAACTTTGCGCATTTTAAACACATAGTGGCCGACCTTGACAGTAAGTAACATTACCGAATTGTTGTAACCATAAAGAAATACGTTTCGGGATTCGATTTTTTACTTTGTCTTCCTTTCAACCATGAGTCCCACAAATTTTCTGCATACTTGCCTTGACGATTCAATTTGTTTTTTATCTTTTATTAATGGTTTTTCACATTATGCACAAAACTTTTTTTCAGCTTTTTTTGTACCGACTTCACAGAAAACACAATTTTCGATTTTCCGAAAATGTAATTGAACAAAAAGTTAGGTTTCACTAAGACAAGCTTCGACAAAAATGCGCGTAGGTGGCGCTAGTGAACTTGACAAAAAAACGCGAGTGGCCTACCTAGACAGTAAGCCAACCTTGACTACATTCCCCTATATATTTTAATAAAATTTCCCAAAAGAATTCAATTATTAAACAGAAATTTTGATAATATTCTGCATGAACATTCAATTATTTTCCAAAAAAAAAATGAAAATTTCACAAGAATTAAATTATTCAAAATAGAATTTGTGTAAATTTAAAAAAAAATCAAATGTTTTAAAATTTTTGCATTAAGTTCTTCGCGGTAATTAAATTATTTTCGTATGTTTTGAAATTCTTTTCAGGGATTTACTTAATTATTTTTATAAATAATAAAATCATTCGGTGGAAGTCAATTATTTTTATAAATAATAATATTCATCACAATAATTCAATTATTTTCAAAAATTTTAATTAAAATTCATTCAACAATTTCAATTATTTATAAAATATTTTCTTAATTCAATAATTTGTCTATCTATTACTTTAATTAAATTTTCCAAAAAAGAATTCAATTATTTAAAAACAATTTTGACAAAGTTTTACACGAATATTCAATTATTTTCTAAAGTAATGAAAATTTGATCGGATTGCAGAATTTAAATTATTTTTAGTACAATTTTAATCGAAGTCCTCGAAAAATGTAATTATTCTTAAAAATGTTATTAAAATTCTTCGAAAGAATTCAATTATTTAAAAATTTGTTGATAAAATTATTTATGAGAATTCAATTTTAATAAACATTCAATTATTCAATAAATTATTTATTTTTACATTTAAAATTAAATAATTGAATTCTCGTAGAATTTTGTAAAAAATTTGATTTAAAACTGAATTTTAGTTAAAATTTTAGATTAAAATTCAATACTAAAAGTGTTATAGTATGAATTTTTAGAAATAATTGAATTTTGAAAAGATTTCAAATTAAAATTGTTAAAAATCTGAATTTTTCCAGACTTTCAACCGACAATTCTGTGATTAATTAATAATTTAAATAATAATAGAATTCTTTTTAAGAATTTTAGTACTTTTAAAAATATTTATATTCTTGTCAGGAATTTTATTACAGTTTTTGAAAATAATTACCTTCTTTTGAATAAAATAAAAAACTAATAAAAATGATATATTTTATTTGTGTGATTGAATTCTTATGAAGGTTTTTAATAAAATTTTTAAAAATAATTGAATTCTTGAGAAAAATTTTATTACAATTTACGGAAATAATTAGACTCTTTTGAAGAATTTATTTATAAATTTTTTAAAACTGTAGTTTTTTTTAACAATTTAATTGAAAATTTTGAATGTAATTGAATATCAAAAATAATTTCTTTCAATTAAATTCATGCGAAGAATTTTGTTAATTATGAAAATAATTAAATTCTTATTGAGAATTTTAATAAAATTTTTGAAAATGTTTTCAAAAATTTTTTAAACAATTAAATCCTTTTGATAAATTTTATTAACATTTTTTTAGAAACATTGAATACTTTATAGAAGAAATTTATTAGTTATAAAAATAATTGAATTCTTGCGAAGATTTTAATAAAATTTTTGAAAATAATTGCATTGTTTAGCGAAATTTCTTTCAATTTTGTTAAACCTAATAAAAAATTGGATTCTTGAGAAGAATTCTATTACAGTTTACGAAAATAATTAAATTTTTTAAAAGAATTTCTTTATAAATTTTTTGTAAATAATATTTACAAATTTTTTTTAACAATTTAATTGAAAATTTTGAAAGTAATTGATTATCAAGAAAAATTTCTTTCAAGTTTTTAAAATTATTGTATTTGCTAATAATTGTCATTAAAAATTTGATTATTTAATTATATTAAATTTTTTTTTAGAAATAATTCAATTCTTTCAAAAATTGAATTACAATTTTTACTAAATTTGCACTAAAAATAATTGAATTCCTTAGAAGAAGACAAAATAATTAAATTAAGTTAAAGAACTTTATATTATTTATGAAAATAATAATTGAATTTCTGAGCAGAATTTTTAAAACATTTTTAAAAATAATTGAATTTTGTTGAGAAATTTTATTATGAAAATAATTGAAATCTTGCGAAGAATTTTGTTAATATTATTGAAAATAATTGAATTCCAACGAAGATTTTTGTTAATTTTTATTCAAAATAATTGAATTTTTCTGTAAAATTGTATTACATATTTAGAAAAATTGAATTCCTGTTTAGAATAAATTTAAGTCAAATTATATTTTTTAAAAATTTGAATTCATTTGAAGATTTTATATTTTTGAAAATAATTGAATTTATCGTGAAATTTTTGTTAAAATTGTCAGGGAAAAAGTCAAAATCAAAATTTTTGAGTAACTAATAATTTTTAGAGTGAATCAAAATATTCTTCAGGGTCAGGAAAAAAGTTAAAATCAATCAGGAAAAAGTCAGGGAAAAAGAAAATAAAATTTTTGTGGCAACCCTGAAAAACAAGCGATAAACATTATATTTGAGTAACAGCCAAGTCCTTTGGTTTCGATTTGGATTTTCCAAATTTTTCATGGCAATAGGGAAGAATATAATTTGAAATAATTCTATATATATAAATTAAATAAAAATGGTAAATTAAAATTTGTGACGATTATCACATACTGGCGTGCATCGCCGAATAGGCGCCATAAGGATGATTACGAAGTCTAAGTGCACTTAAGCTATTCATCGATGTGCTTTCCAAACTTGTATGAACTTCCGGTTGATGATATGTGGTGAGTCCAATATTTCCCAAATTTCCATTGACAAATCCATGACAACTCGTTGTCGATTGTACTGTCGCGTAATGCTGCTGCGATCGCCAATAATCACTATATGGATATTGTCCAATTTGTGGCGATTGAACTTGCTCCGAATTACTCTCGTGATTATTCACTCTTATTGGCCGCAGAGGTAGTGCCGCCTCCATTTCGCCTCGACTCGACGTTACATTTCGATTCATTGCCGAACTTCTCTCGTTCCTGCGAAATTTCGCCCGACGATTCTGAAACCATACCTGAAAGCAAATTTTTACAGCTAAAAAAATTATTTTTGTTTTTCAAGAATTTCTTTTAATTTAAAAAAAAAATAATTTCCAAAAAAATTGAATTCTTGAAGAAAATTATATTACAATTTTGAAAAAAAATTTAATTCCTTTCAAGAATTTCTTTAAATTTGTTTGAAAAAGTAGTTTTTTTAAAAAATAGTTTTAAATAATATGATAGAAAATTTAATTCTTGAGAAAATTTTATTAAATTCTTCCCAAAATTTAATTACAATTTTTTTTTTAAATTCATAATTGAATTATTTCGAGAAATTTTATATAATTTGTACTGAATTTCTCAGAAGTTGACAAAAAAATTGAATGAATTTAAAGAACTTTATTATTTATGAAAATAATTGAATTACTAAAGTAAAAAAGTAGTAAGTAAAAAAATTCAATTCTCGAGAAGAATTTTATTAGAATTTTCAAAAATAATAATGAAATTTTTAAAAATAAAATAATAAAAATAATATATAGTATTTATATAATTGAATTCTTGTGAAGGTTTTTGGTAAAATTTTGGAAAATAATTAAATTGTTTGACAGAATTACTTTCAATTTTTTTTAAATTGATAAAAAATAAAATTCTTAAGAAGAATTTTATTACAGTTTTCAAAAAAAATTAACTTCTTTTAAATAATTTCTTTATAAATTTTTTTAAACATGTCGTTTTATTAACAATTTAATTGAAAATTTTGAAAGTAATTGAATTTTTTTAAAAATAATTGAATTCTTCCGAGAATTGAATTATAATTTTTTGAAAATAATTGAATTCTTCCCAGAATTGAATGATAATATTTTAAAAATAATTGAATTCTTCCTAGAAAATTCATAAAATTTGTACTGATGGAAATAATTAAATTCCTTATAAGCATTTTATTATTTAAAATTAATAAATGAAACCTTGCGATGAATTTTATTATTTCTAAGAATAATTGAATTCTTGTCAAGAATTTTAGTATTTTTAAATAATTTTAATTCTTGTCAAAAATTTTATTCCGGTTTCAAAAATAGTTAAATTTTTTTCGAGAATTTATTTAAATTTGTTTGAAAAAGTAGTTTTTTTAAAAATAATATTATTTAAAATTTTCAAAATAATTGAATTTTACAATAAATTTCTTTCAAATTTTTAAAAGAATTATGTTATAATTATTTTAAACTCACTATCCTACCATAAATGTTTTACTAATTAGAATCGATTACTACTTAGAAAATTGTGATTCTAAACTTAGCGAACAAAATTATAGATTTTTTACAGGCCTTGAATAATACGATTGAAAATTCAATTCTCGAGAGGAATTTTATTGCAATTTTCGAAAACAATGAAATTTTTTTGAATAAAATAATAAAAATAATATATATAGGTATTATTTATATAAATAATTCTTCAGAAGCATTTTATTATTTAAAATAAATAACACAAATCCAGTAAAGAATTTTATTATTTTTAAAAATAATTGAATTCTTGTCAAGAATTTTAATAAAAATTTGATTTTTTAAATGTGAAAATTTAAATCTAACTTTAAAATTAATAATTTTAAATATTATATTTTTAAAAATGTTTGTACAGTTTCCAGGAATTTTATTATTATTATGTTGTAAGTAATTCAAATTAAAATAATTTAATTCAATTATTTAATTAATAAATTAAATTCTGATAAAGAATTTTATACAAATTTTTGAAAATAATTGAATTCATTCAATCGTGTCGAGAAATTTTATTAAAATTGTTTTGTAAGTAATTGAAATTTCAAAGAAGAATTTTACTATTTATGAAAATTCAATTACCGTGTAGATTTTAATTCACATTAAATTTTAAAAAATTGAATTCATTCGAAGATTTTTTATTTTTGAAAATAATTGAATGTCTGCGAAGATTTTTACTAATATTTTTGAAAATAATTGAATTCCTGCGTAGAATTTAATAAATATTCTACTTACAAAAATTAAATTCATTTCAAAATTTTTTATTATGAAATATAATTAAATTCCTGCGAAGAATTTTGTTATTTATGAAAATAAGTAAATTATTGTTGAGAATTTTAATAAAATTTTTAAAACTGTTTTCAAAAATTTTTTAAACAATTAAATCCTTTTGATAAATTTTATTAACATTTTTTAGAACAATTGAATAGTTTAGAAGAAATTTATTAGTTATAAAAATAATTGAATTCTTGCGAAGATTTTAATAAATTTTTTAAAAATAAGTGAATTGTTTTGAAGAAATTCTTTCAATTTTTTTAAAATTGATAAAGAAAAATGAATTCTTGAGACGAATTTTATGGCAGTTTTCGAAAGTAATTAAATTCTTTTTTGAAGAATTTTTTTAGAAATTTTTTGTAAATATATTTTTAATTTTTTTTAATAATTTAATTGAAAATTTTGAAAGTAATTGATTATCAAGAAGAATTTCTTTCAAGTTTTTAAAATGATTGCATTTGCCAATAATTGTAATTAAAAATTTGATTATTGAATTTTATTAAATTTTTTTAGAAATAATTGAATTCTTTCCAAAATTGAATTAGAATTTTTATTAAATTTGCACTGAAAATAATTGAATTCCTTAGAAGCTGACAAAATAATTGAATTAAGTTAAAGAACTTTATATTATTTATGAAAATAATTGAAATCCTACGAAGAAATTTTGTTAATATTTTTAAAAATAATTGAATTTCAAGGAGAATTTTGTTCATATTTTTGAAGATAATTGAATTTTTGAGTTTTTATTTTTGTAAATAATAATTGAATTTATCGAGAAATTTTATAAAATTTGTATAAAAAATAATTGAATTCCTCAGTAGCTGACGAAATAATTGAATTAAGTTAAAGAAATTTATTATCTATGAAAATAATTGAATTTCTGAGAAGAAATTTTAATAATTTTTCAACAACAATTGAATCTTTATTATTTTTTTTTTTGAAAATAATTGAATGTCTGCGAAGATTTTTACTAATATTTTTGAAAATAATTGAATTCTTCTGAAGCATTGTATTATTTATATGAAAATAATTGAATTCCTGCGTAGAATTTAATAAGTATTGTATTTTAAAAAATGAAATTCATTTCAAAATTTTTTATTATGGAATATAATTAAATTACCGGGGAAAATTTTCTTTTTTTATGAAAATAATTGAATTTTTGCGAAAAATTAAAAAAAAAATTTTTGAAAATAATTTTGAATTCCAAAGAAGAAGTTTATTATTGATAAAAAATAATTGAATTGTTTTGAAGAATTTTATTAAAATTTTTTAGAAAATAATTGAATTCTTTCGTGAAATTTTATAAAATTTGTACTGCGAAACTAATTATTGAATTGCTCAGAAATATTTTATTAAAATTGTAGAAAATAATTGAATTGTTTTAATGAATTTTATTGAAACTTTGAAAAGTAATAAATAATTTTATAATTTCGAAAAAAGTAATAATTAGATTACTGAATTTTTTATAATAATTTGAATCTGAAATTACTTAAAAATTGAAGTTGATAAATATTTGAAAAATAATTTTGTAGTTTGCGTAATAATAAATTGAATCCAACTTTATTGAAATTAGCAGGGTAAAATTCTGGTATAACTAACAGTTTTTTTTTTTATAAAAGAAACAAAAATTGTATTTTTTTTTTCGTTGAAATAAGTAGTGCATTTGAAAAATAGGAAAAATAGAGGTCAAAAAATGGAAAAATTAAAATGAGAGTAGAGAAAATAGAGAAATAAAAATAACACGTTATACTCGAAGCGTTAGACTGTTAAATTCGCTAAGTATATTGGTTTGAGAAAACCGCAGCTTGTATAAAATAATATAATACTAGGGGGCTAGACACACATCACATGGGGGTGTGGTTCGTCTTGTTAAATCCGTTACGTAAAGGCGAATCGACTTGGTGGTCGTTGAAGGGTCAAGTCAGTTATATACTTATAATACACAACTGAGAACTCATTTGTACCTTGTCACGCTATTGCACGCAATTTGATAATATAATTCAAGACATTAATGCAATTTAAGAAAAAGGACATGCTCTTGTCCTTCCATGTCCTTCTTGACCCACGCAACTAACTATCCAGGTGATCCTAATTATACAGTTGGGGGGATGATATTGCCAAGCGGAATGAATAAAAAAAAATGGTACAGCTGTTTAACACTTTAGCATGTCAATTATGAATATAATTAGAAAGGAACGAGGGAGACACGCGCCAGAAATTGAAACTTCCTTAAGTTTTTCACTTATTTAACATTCAAAAAAAAAAAGAAAAAGAAAAAAAATACAGAGGGAACTTTCTTTGAAATATATTTCATCAGATAATATCAAATTTTACCCTGCTAATTTCAATAAAGTAGGATAATAGAAATGTTTAGTTCTACTAAATACAGATTAGTCTTTTGTTTCCTTTTGAATAAATTAACTTGTGTCCGATCTTTTCTAATGGAAATATGTCAAGTTTTTTTTTCTTTAAATTATACATTTAATTTTCAATGTTATACTATTGTGTAATTATTATAATACTAGCAACTGTTACGCGGTAGTCAATTTCTTATTACGCAAATTACGAAATATTTTATTTTTCAAATTTATCAACTTCAATTTTTAAGTAATTTCAGATTCAAATATTATAAAAAAATTCAGTTATCAACTAATTATTACTTTTTTCGAAATTATTAAATTATTTATTACTTTTCAAAATTTCCATAAAATTCATTTAAAAAATTTAATTATTTTCTACAATTTTACTAAAATACTTCTGAGGAATTCAATAATTAGTTTCAGTACAAATTTTCTAAAATTTCACGAAAGAATTCAATTATTTTCTAAAATTTTAATAAAATTCTTCAAAACAATTCAATTATTTTTATCAATAATAAACTTCTTCTTAGGAATTCAAAATTATTTTCAAAAAATTTTTTTAAATTCTTCGCAAAAATTCAATTATTTTCATAAAAAACAAAATTTTCCCCAGTAATTCAATTATATTCCATA